AAAAAAAGAATGTAATTTTAATAAAAATTAAGAATCATCTTATTTGAATCAATAAAGTTAAAATCTTAATTGAATTAGAGTCGGCAACACATTTACTACAGATTTATGACAAACTACCATAATTTTGGTTCCATGTTTGGTATAGTTCTAAGTCGCGATCGCTAACACTTGCACGAACTACAATTTATGATTAATTTTATCAATTGTCCCCGGTTTTTACTAAATTAATATCAGTTTTTATCATTTCCTTCCAAAAATTTGTACTTACCTTGTGTCAATGCATTTAAAAAATCTTGGTAATTTATTGGTCGTACATCATCCGCTATTTACATAGATTAGAGAGTAAATACTTTTAATTCGCATTAATACCGTTTGCCACTGCTTACAGTACCCTAGGTGTTATTCAAGAACTCCATTTTCAAATTGAAAAGTTCTCATGGGTACTGTGTGAAGAACCGGGTACTATATTTGTGATATACCATATTAACGTTAAAAGTGGTAAACAAATATGATTGTACCCAAGTCTTATTCAAGAACAGGCCGATAGGAGTGGTGAGTAATACCCGGATCTTATCATAGAGGAGATTATTTGGGGGATACTGTAAGCAGTAGTCAACGGTAATATCAAATTTAGATTATAAAGGTTGAACCTGAAATGTTTCTTATATCTCCGATTACGCGTATTGGTCCCAATGCAGCTTCTAAAAGATTGATTAAAAAAACATATTTAATATGAAATAATTTTAATGTTTATTTCAATAAACTTTTATCCACCTCTACATAGTCCATCCATATCTGACCCAGAGTATCCTATCATAACATAATAGTTAGATTACATACATGATTACTGAGTACATGACAAAAAAAATAAAAATATAAAATACCAGCAGTTTTCTCGCAAATTTCATAAATTTCTTGATCAGTCAATGAGTGTTTTTGTTTCTGTAATAAATTTTTTATAATGCAGTACCTTCCATCTAATTCTGGTAAAGGAATATAGAGTCTTTTACGAAACCGACGTCCTTTTAGCGCGAAATAAAAAGTAAAAATGACTGTTTTGAAGAGAACTAATAGAGAAGTAAAAAATCGTAATAGGCAACTTACGTGCAGCTTCATCAATTTCTTGTGGCCTTAATTATTTACGAAGTGTGAATATAATTGAGCGCTAGATCGAGAAATATAATAAAAATAACATTGCTTACCTATTTGTTGCTCCGACAATAAGAATTCGATCCTCTTCTAACCCAGCGGTTTTCACACCATCCTAAATTTCTTAATCAGAATAATGAATTGCCTATATATTTTCTAATAATAAAAAAAAAAAAAACAATTCTCACAAATTGAACCAAAAACTCAGTTTTGATGCGTCTTGAAGATTCAAATTCGCCATCAGTCCTTTGGGTCAGTAAAGAATCGATCTAATTTTCAAATAAACATGAATACTGTAGATGATACAAAATGTAATATGAAATTAACAAAGCATCTCACTTACCTCATCTACGAATACTACAGCGGGCTGATTTACCCTTGCAACAGCGAATAAAGCGCGAACCTACGAAAATTTTCCATTATATTAGATATATTTGGATCATTAAATAAATCGTATTTGGTATCAATATATTACCATTTTTTCACCATCGCCAACCCATTTCGAAGTTAGGGATGAAGCACTGGAAAATTATCATCAGAGATTTTTTTCTTGATTTTGATATAAATGTTGCAAATAGCGATTTCCCACCTTATACTGAAAAACGTTGCTCCTGATTGACTTTAATACAACAGTAGAATGTTAACAGATGCATATTGTACCTTTATACAAACATCAATATATTACCTGGCTATACATTTGCCAATGAGGGTTTTGCCTGTTGTATATTCATGTTATACTTTAGTTTATAGAAAGTTCGGTTCTTAGTTCATGCCACCGACTAATTTACAAACTTACCGGTCCCTGGAGGTCCAAAAAGTAATAACCCTGTACATATACATATTTTTAATTAATTTAAGGTTTATATTTGCAAGAAATCGTAAACATGAACAAACCTTTAGGAGGGCCTCTTAACCCTGTAAAAATATCTCTGGTAAAAAAAAAACAGTTATCTAGCCATTATTTTCTAAAAGTATTAAACAACGCCTGTATAACAATACTAACGGTCTTAACATAGGCCATGTAACGGCCTCTTGAATGGTTTTTTTCGCATGTTCTAATCCAGCGATATCTTCCCAAGAGATTTTGGGAGTCCGATCCATGATCTATTGAAATAAAAGTTTATAATAGTTTTGCAAGTAACAAACATAAATAAATATATAACCTCATTTTGGATCATTTCGATCATTTTTGGGTCAATATTTTTTAATCTACTATCAATTGCTTGTTCTTTATCCGCATCGTAATCTTGTTTTCTATCATTTTTATCTCTCTTAGACCCGGAAGACGAACTATATTTTATAATACAAGAAAATTGTGAATAAGCAAACATACAAAAGTCTTTTAAATATTTGCAAAGAGTCATTACGTACAAATAATCATTTTTGTGCATTTTTGATTCACCACCACCGAGGCTTTCATTTCGTTTCAATAAAGGAGATATAAACCTTCCTCTTTTAGCGGTCTGACTTGATGTTCCAATGACTCTTTTCTTATAGGCCCCTGGTATGTGCGGCTTGTCAACGAAATCATTAAAATTACTATATGATTGACCTTGATTATATGGTGGGGAAAAACGGCCTTTCTTCTGCTTTTCAATCATCTATGTAATTCATCAAAATAGCATACACCTTATATAAATGATCATTGAATTACATCGTAATTTATTGTAATATTATCATACCATTTGTTGTCTTGCGGTAATGAAAGAACCACTCTGAATCGTAGAACAATCATGTTGGTCGTTATCGTCATCATTTATATAATTTATATCCATTGGAATTGTGTCATTTTTTTTCACTTTATGGTTTTCTAAGTGCTGTAGATCCTAATCGAAAATCATGTTTAGTCTATCAAAAATATATTGCATAAAGTTAATATTAAAGAAGATATATATACTCTTATGGTATGTTGCTCGTTGGAGAATCTTCCGTCATATATATTTAAAAGATCATTATCAATATCCATTATATCATTGCTGTTAAATCCAGATAGAGCAGGATTGGTTGTCCGTACGTCCCTTAAATGATTATTTATATCGCGTTTTGGAGGAATTTTGATAGAACCAGTGTCAACTTTGTCGTCTTTAAACGATGATGAATTGTTCGTATCGGTATCGTGTACAGCGCAATCGTTTAAATAATTAACCAGGAGACTTAAATCAGGTGGTTCCATGAAGTCATAATCATCAACAACGCATTGCTATAAATGAGATCAGAAAAAAAAACCAATCAAGAAATTTTTAAAATGACAATTCTTAGAAAGAAATTAATTACCATATTAACAACATGTTCCATCTTTAATTCCGATTTGAACTCTTTGATATTACTTATGCTCTTTACACCCTTCTTTTGAGCTTTCTTTAAAAGTTTCTTATTTATTTCATCCTCAATCATTTCAGTCAAATTTACCATGTTACCATCATTTTCTTTATTTCCAACCCAACATTGGTCATATTTATCCCACACTTTATCCATTAAATGCACTGCTTCATGACGCGACACGAAATCAGAATGAGCATTGCTTAAAACCATAAGGGCTTTACGAAAATTCGTTGCAGCATTACGAATATCATCATGAGCAGTTTTTTGTTGCTCTTGTGAATTAGGAGTCGTGCAAGCTGATAAAAGATATTTTTCACCAGCGAAATAGAAATTTTCAAAGAAATGATTATTTAATCTATCTCTCTGTTCTTGATTCATAATATACAAGTTTATTTTAAAGAAATATTTTGAATTTATAAATAAGCAGTCATTAAGTAAGATAGGTTATTTTACCCCGCAATTTGATTTATTTTTTTGTTAATGTTACATCGATATATTCACACGTAATTTGAGGCGGAGAAAATATTGAACTCTTCTATTCAGAGAATCATACTGTACGAGTTTTGTTATATTTTTTTATTTATTAATATCTTATGACTTAATTTCTTTACAACAATATTTTCAAATTCGTAAGGAACTATTTGGTATTTACTTTCATCTAATAATCATCGTTGATATCAATATCTTTCTTTATATTCTGATTTAATAAATTTGTGAAATTTATTCTTACTCCACTTGAAATCAATAATCAGCTTTCTCTATATTCATTTGTATTCCAATACTTCTAAATTGATACTACTGTAGGGTAGTTAAATTTAATAGCTACTTAAATTTATTCTAAATTCAATAATATAATAAATGTGTAATCAATTAACGCAACGATAGTTATAGTAAATTATATTCTATTATTACAATAAATTGTTAAAAGATCTATACGTATTCAAATGTTTTATTATGCTATCTTTTTATTTCTGTTTTACGTATTAATGCATGAAACTCGATTAACTTAGTAATTACTAATAAATTTTAAAAAATCTATAAAAAAGTATGATAGTGATTATAAGCTAATTGTGTAATTATATAAACATAAAAAAATCGAAATAAAAATTTTGTGATTATATAAAAGTTGTGATTGCATAGGTAATTATAGTACTATATCTTATACATCTTTTTTAAAACCCCGTTTTTTTACATATCTACTCGTAACTTTACATAATTATTTGTCGTAGCTCAAATCCATCACACATAAGTCTTATGTTGTTCAACCTAAATTTTAAAGAACTTAAAAGTAAATAATTTGTAAGAGTTAAATAAGAAAAAAAAAAGATTAAAGACAAGAAAATTATACTTATATTGCTCGACCAATCGTACGCATCAAGTGGAAAAGGCTTAATTATTGAGATCCGTTGAATATTTCTTTAAGTGCGAAATTGGATTACTGACTCTATATTATTTCTGCTCGCGATGCTAATTATAGTCCTTTAAAAAAATATATTGTTTAAGTGATCTGTTGGGACGAAAATATAAAAAAATAAAAAATAAAAATAATGAAATTTTGTAATCGACGACCTTTTTTAACGATATTCATAGATTAAAAAGTAAACAAAAAACTATGTATATGCTTTTATTAGTAATAACATGCGTAAAATAAAAAAATAATAATAAATTTGTAGCTAATTTTTCTTCAAACTGCAAATTTAAGTATATGTTTGCAGTCTGTCGTTAATCATCAGCAATTTATATAGGTCATTTGCATATGTGCACCAAGAAAGCAAACAAGAAAAATAAAACGTAAATAAGGTTAAAAAAAAAAAAATTGCAAAATTGCAAAAAAAAAAAAAAACGAAAATATAAAAAAAAGAATATAAAAAAATAAGAAAAAAATATAAAATACTTGTTCTAGTAAGAAGAAAAGGCCTGTGTAAGTTATTAAAAAAAAAAAAATAAACTAGAACAAGTTATTAAAAAAAACGACTTGGTGCGAATATTGCAAATGATTCAAAAAAAACAAAAGTCAACATCGAGGATTTTTATAACATGCATGTTTTTCACACCCCTTTTTTATCAAACGCGTTCGCGTAAAATTTATATCGTTAATTTGCCTGATTTGTTTATAATACTCTCCAAATAAGGATATCAGAAAAGCACGGGGTTTCATGCAACAGCATATGCTTTCCCGAACTGCAAATCAGATTTCAAAATCCAATGCAACATAACACTTCAAAATAACCGTTCTTTTTATCAAATAAATCAAATTTAGTGCATTAACAAAAGCTTTTTTTTGACCGATTTTACTATGAGTGCGTGAGAGTGAAAACCTGGAAAAAGATTTAATGATTTACTATGATTGGTTCCAGGTTTTCACTTTTACGCACTCATATATTTATTTCTAACTTTACTAGATATTAGACCCGTCGTTAAACGACGGGTTTAAAGACTTTAACAATATATGTACTGTTCATATCTATTTACAATTTACAGCATATTTATATAATCTAGTAATCACTTAAACATATATATACTTTTACGTAGTATAAGTTTAATTTAAGATAATTAATAACATTGTAACTTTCACTATTGTAAGCAAATTATTTTGCTCGAAAAATACTTATACATATAAAATGTATCATTATAACAATTTATATGTACATACGTGCGTACGTACGTACATAGTAGAGATAGTGAGGTAATAATTGCTTGTTTTAGCCCGCAAGTGCAATCTGATTTTAATCGTATTTAAACTTTTATAAAATTTGCTGCGTTGAAAATAAGTATTATGATCTGGCAGGAAGTGATTTCTAGAAAGCAAAACTTTTAGACTAAACAAAACGTTCACTTTGCAATTCGGTTATTTTTTACAAACTGTAGTATAAAAGTATCTAGAAATAAATGAGAAAAACAAATACTAATGCTATTGAATTTACTATCTCAAATAGAGTATGACTAAAACCTAATAGTTGTAAGGATGCTATATTTTTTTATTCATAACGTTAGATACAGTTTCGCCTTCAAACTATAGATGTAGATTTCTGGAAAAAGGGTAGCGCATAATTTAATATTCATAGTTCTAGTTTATTTAAAAACGTGAACGAAAATTTGATTTTTAGCTATATCATTAGGCCAGTCAAGTATTAAGTCTGTAAAAAAAGGATGCGACGTTTAGTAAAACAAAACAAAAAAAAAAAAAAAAAACTAATTGAATATATGTTGACACCCTTGTGATACTTTATTAAAAAATAGATAAGTTATTATTTTTTTTATGTTTTCTTGTCGTAACTTATTAGTTTATCGGTATCTAACTAACAATGAAATTTACTTAATATGTAGTTATCTCAAAATTGCTAATTATAAATTAGGCTGCCTTAAATGTTTGTCAAATATTTTGTCACTGCAAGACTTCACTGTATACAATATTTTTAGTACAACCCGGAAATTTGTGCTGTCCAAGGAATATTCGTAATCGTTGAGATGACGTGACTCTTGAACATGCGACGTATAGCTGCCCATGAGAAAAAACAGGCGTTGGAATATAAAGTCCAAGCCAATTAATAGTTTGTCCTTGAGCTTTGTGAATGGACATTGCAAAGGCAAGCTGGCATGGAAACTGGCGACGTTTTAAAGCAAATGGCATTGATGCAGTTGTGGGAGTCAACATGATGCGAGGCAAAAAAACTCTTTTCCCAGCTAAAGGTCCAGTTAAAGGTTCTGCTTCAATAACATGTTTCTGCAAGGCCTTAATAATTAATCTAGTACCGTTGCAAAGACCTTCAGCTGCACTGATGTTACATAACAGTATAATAGGAGCACCAACTTTAAGTGTTAATACATGTGGCGGTAGACTGCTAAATTTTAGTGAATTTAAAAATTCAGTTGAATAAAGTTTTTCTTGGTTATGATTATATAACTCAGAGTTTTGATCTAGAGAATCCGCACTGTAGTATGTTGTTTCTTCACCAGGAAATTGTGCAAGTACTTCCGAATTCAGTTCATCAACTTCTACATTTCTTGGAGCAAGAATTCCTCTCTCAAGCAGATAATTCGCATCTAGTGAACGTAACTGTAATTCTGGATATACAAAATCGATTAATTCTTGAGAATTGTTGCAGTCATGTATAATTTCTGATGGTAAAGGAATGTAACCACTATCAGGTATGATTTCAGGAATGCGTCCTTCTCTGAGTTTTAATAGCCAGTCAGCAAAATCTTTTTGTGCATTCATATTAGGAGAACCGACAGCTCGTTCTAATCTCATATTTTTAGTTAATTTTTTTACTTTAACATATTGCTATAACCACGACTGACAAAGACAGGCGTTAACAACATCTTCTCGTCTGCCTCTTGAAACTACTGAAAGAACTTGTCTAAAATCACCGCCGAAAACAATAACTTTACCACCGAATGATTCATCATTGCTCATGATGTCTCGCAAAGTACGGTCCAATGCTTCAAATGCATAACAATGCATTATAGGGGCTTCATCCCAGATAATCAATACTGATTACCTAATAAGTTCTGCAAGATCAGATTGTACCAGTATGTTGCATGTGGAGTCTTTATCAAGATCAATAGGAATTTTGAATTGTGAATGAGCTGTTCGACTGTTAAGTAGTAATGCAGCAATTCCTGATGATGCAACGGCCAATACAATTTTTCTTTGAGAGCGAACCTTTGCTAGCAAAATCGAATAGAGAAAAGTCTTTCCAATGCCAGCAGGGCCATCTATAAAAAAAGAAGCCGAATCGGTTTGCTCAACTGCTCGTAAAACATCTAAGTATATACTTTTTTGATCATCATTTAAAAGATTTTCATAACAATCAACAAATTCGGCAAGTATTTCTTTATCATGAGTTAACTCTTCAGCTATTAGGGAATTTTCGTCTTCGTTGCCTGCTATAGGAATTGGCATATTAGGAAAATCTTTTAACGATTTTCCTTGTTGTAATAAAAGGTCATCTACTAAGCATAATGCACGATTTTCTATTTCATCATCTGATAGTAGCAGATTTGGATTTTGCGTTTGCTGTTGAGCTCGGTATAATATGTTGTCACAAAGAGCAGTTTTGTGATTTGCCCAAAGATGTGCAGGTTCGGTCAGATGACAATTAACTAAAATAGTAACAAATAGAAGTCATAGCTGTTGTCCAGTTTGCATATTTGACGCTTCACTAAGACAATGATCTCATTCTAAGTCATCTTGAAGTAGGTTCAATGCTCGATATGCTTCCTTAAAGGTTGCATATTCTACACCGTTCACAGTACATAAATATTTGAATGATTGTGCACCACGTACTACAGTAAGAAGCAGGCATAGATAATAACGTTCTCCTGCACCTGGATACACAAAATAAAGATGTCCGATTGCATTTCCGCGTTTATGCACTTTTCATTTTTTAAATTTATTAAAAACAAAAAATTGTGGAAATTGAGTGTATGTATATTTTTTTGCCAAATCCAATAAAGAAGGATCACAATTTGTATCAAACCATGCTGTCAGAGTTGTTTTCTGATCATTTATTCTTTGTAGAATTACTTCTGGTGAGTCATCGTCAGAAAACGTTACAAAATATTGATCAGGTAAGTGCACGCTCAACTGAATCATGTTGGGCGCTTCATCATGCATTTTACAATGCATAATGCGCCAGAAAGACTCTGATGCCGATACATAGCGAGCATCTATATATTGTTGAATTTCATCTACTATTTCAGGTTTGTCAGAGCCAGTATCAGTAGCACTATTGTTGCTAATTACTATAGTTGCACGATCATGACCTTTATAAACATATTTGAATAGATATTTAACTGCTCGAATAGAAGAGCAAATTTCAACATTAATGTGGCAATTATACTTTTTGCAAAGATACAGGTTGTGTGGTATCACCCAACGGTTATTAAGTTAGACACCTTTAACTTCTACTGTATGACCATTATTACATCGACGATATAGCGGATACCCACCTCATTTTCAGAGGAAGCTGCCTGAAATGGTTTAGGATATCCTTTTGAACATTTTCCATCACGCATGCATGGTGCACACATGTTAAATGCTCTACACAGTCCATGCATCATGCATTTAACTACAGTAGCAAATTCATCAGGATATTTGTCTGGATCGGGTATTTCAGCAGATACAATTAGGTTATAGTCATCAGTGGTTCATGGTTTGTCTTCATCCGCAAGCATTATTAGCATATGTGCATGCAAAAGACCGCGCATTTGTGCCTCAATAACGTAAATATGTGCTATTGCTTTATTAAAAATTCTTTTTTTTAGTATATTATCAAGCAATGCATTCAGTTTCAAATTGAAAATACGTGCACAAATGTCAGGACGGTTGTGTGCGCTTTGCCCAAGTAATAAAGCTGTTTGAATTTCTTTCCAGTTTGGATTGCATGTCATTGTGATGAATAAATCAGGTTTTCTTGTTTGCCCAACGATGGTCATGGCATCTTAATAGAGTTGATGCATTGAACACGGTCCTCTAACGAAGCTAGATGGAAGGATAATCCTCTTTTCGATGCGAATTCTCTTTTCGATTGTTGTAGTATTTTGCGGAACTTCATCATTAGTAGTGAGTGCATTCTGTACTCCATTATACAATTCAGCTCGAAATTTTTTTGATTTTTCTTTATATAATTAAGCCAATTTTGTTCAATGCATGCATAAGCATCTACAATGTATTGCTGTAACAATTGACCAGCTCTATGCAAAGAAAATGATTCTAAAGGTCCATATCTGCACACTTGCAATCGATATACATAAAACTGCATCATAGTTACACGTTTTAGACTTTCTTCCTCACTGCCGTCTTCCGAAATGTTAAAGGTTTCGTCATTGTCATTTGATTGCACATCTTCTGGTTCAATACATGCTGGGATATTTGGATGCTATCCAGGCTCTCCATTCGGAAAAAGTAATACATAATGCAATGGGCTATAAGAAGAACAGATTTGAGAAATTCGTTGCAAGCCTCCTCTATGTTTACGAAGAATGATATCATGATTTAAAGGCTCAGAGTCATCACCGCTTTCAACCATGAGTACTGCGACTTCTGAAAAGGTAGGTGTAGCGTATTGTCATTCATCTCGTGTTTTAATTATCGGCATATTTAATTCATGCGCAGAATTTTCACGTAGAAGTTGTGCGGCTTGTTGAAATGTATGCACATATAGATTAACTTCATGTAGCATTGCTTGTAGCCCAGCTAGTGTAGAAGAGTCCAGATCGTGCATAATATGTTGTCTACGTAGATGCTATTGTTCTGTATCGTACAGATAAATTTGGCAAAACTTGGGCTTAGCAGAATCATCTGATAGAAGAGAACCTATTTGATGATACATTTCTCTATAGATCCGAAATGAGTAGATGCCACTGGTTCCTGTAACTTGTTCATCAATTTTTGCACCCATTGAAGTAAAAGCGAGAACTGAATTGTACATGCGGATTTTTTTACGAAAATCACGTGTGCGTGTTGTATTTTCAGTTAAAAGATCAAGTAAATATGAAGAAGTTGGAGCAAGTGGTTGTAAATGAACTTTGCCTTTGTGCAACATGTGCTGAAGACTGGTTAGTTTACAGTACTGGACACCTTTTCAGATTTCCAGTGCAAAGCACCGCATTCTCTACATTCAATGTTCATGAATCCTAAGTTATGTAATGCTACACTACAACTATCATAATTTCAGTACGGGCACTATAAGAAGCAAGTATATTTAATTTTCTGCGCTTTGATCTTCGTTCTTCAGCTTTTTCTATTGATTCCGTTTCTGTTTGTTGTGCATAGACATTTCGGCATTGCATATATCGCTGTTCAAGCTGAAGATTGATAAGGATGGATTTTCGACGTGCATAAGCTTCTCTTTTAAGTCAGTTTCTACGTTCACGTGCAGTTTCTATGTTTTCAGCATCTTGAGACATAGTGCTTTTTGCCAATTTTGAGGAAGAACGTTTTCGGCCTACGCGATTTTGATTGGATACTGCAGGTTCAAGCGTTGATAAGGCAGTGTCTGTCAGTGTTGGCCGATGACTATGTCATACCATTTTTTTCCTATATGACCTTGGTCATATAATTATATGACTTTTTGGTCATAGTCATCCGGTTATATCAAATACTAATGAAAAAAATCTTTACCATGATTCTTACTATATTAAAAAAGGTCATAAGTCATATTAATCTTCGTTATGACCAAATGACCTATGACTGGTCATAAAGGTCATATAGGTTATATAAGGTCATAGACCAACACTGGTGTTTGTTGCTTCTGATTCAGCTAATTCGAATGACATACTAAACGATGCCTGTATTTCTGTTACTTCAGTATACATATTTGTATCGGGATCAATATATTCGAGAGACATATTATTGTTTGTATTTATTTCAGTTAATTCGAAAGACATATAATTAGGTGATTTTAATTTATTAATATTAGACATGTTGCAATTAAAATTGTTACTAAAATTTAATTTTAATGCAAATTTTATTGTAGGAAAGAGTATGGAAAAAACGTGATCAGGATACAAATTTATACACACATTAATCAGATTTGTACTACCAAAAAAAACGCAAACAAATGGGTTTCCGTGCATTTTTTTTGTGGGTTCTATGCGTTATTTCGAGATAAGGTCATTTGGCTTAAAGTGTATTAAAATTAGGCTTGACAGAAAATTATATAATGCGTTATTAAGTGAAAACTAATTATATTATTTATTTATTTTTGACTATTGCACTCTATTAAAAATGTTTGTTTTAAATATGTTCGGATTTTCCTTTTAACCTAATTTCATTACATTGTTTGTACCATGGTTTGGATCATACGCACAAATAAGATCTGCTTACTTCTACTTAAAAGGCATTTTAAAAGCTGTTCGAAAAAGTGTAAGGCAACTTTCAAGATTTGGTTTATACATGTGTGTGTGTTAACTATAAAAAATGCGCAGGTGTTAACTATACAAAACATGCGACATATGCACGTAACGTGAGACACAAAGTTAAAAAAGAATGTGCGAATTATGCTTCACTGAGCTAGTACCTTAGTCATGGCAAAAAAAAAGTTACTGTTGCATGAATTTAGTGAATCAACGAAAATCAAAACAATCGAATAAGTATGTGAATTAAAATAATTAACCTTATCGTTTTAGTTGAGAATATGGCATATCATGTAACAAATTTTAGCAAGAAATTTTTTTTTGGTTAGTGTGGAGTTATTAACGATTTTCAAAAAAAAGAACACATTTTATATTACACCTGATCTTGTTAGTGGCTAGATTCAGAAATCAGCACGTGATAGTAGGTTTTTTAGTATAATATGATGATCAGGTGATTCGAACCCAATTAATTATTTGTGTAATACAAATACCGATCTATTATTAATCATGTGATGCAAGGCCGAACGAACATCTAAATTTTTGTATTATAGATTATAAATACTTAACTCTAACATTAATGAACTTTATAAAAAATTGTCTGCGCCACATAATCGATATAACCTGGCACAAAATACCTACATGCTTCACGCATTATTATTTCTTTTATAAGTATTGCTAAATATTACTATAGGTGATCATTGTTTATATGTTTGACCAATCAAATTATAGGATTTGTGTAACCAAAACAATAGTAAAACTACAGTCAGGGATTTTAGCAAATTTGGTA